ACACTAGATCTAGTAGTTTTTCGGATTAGTGCTACTATCACTAACCACTCGCACTATGTCCATTTCGACACATTTACATACCTCTTCCATTCAGGTGAAGTCCGATAACTGGGACATCTGGGTTGACCTTTGTGTGTGCGTCCATGCGTGTGTCTTCTGTCTTTCGGACATGCCTGGGCCACATACATCTGTTTATATGCACGTCCATTTGTTTCACAATTTGATTAAAGATGACAGAATGGTGGTCATTTTTATGCTTAAAATTCTGACATTTCTGCCATTCTGGAGCAGGATCTCTGTATGAAAAGATTTTGTTCAAATTTGGTACTTACATCAGACATAATGAAACCTTTATGCACATCATTTTTTTTTTCTCTTTTTTTTTTAACGAATGCGGTTCTTGAGCTGTATGTCCTGACCAATCATGTTGAAACATTACATATGCATTATGTGACACATGTGAACATTTAATCATTTGGTTATCTGATTCAAGATGTCTGAATTGCCGTTCATTCATCAAAATTCATCAAAATCAAGCATTTGTGGAATTTCGGGTCTGGATCTCAGTCATGCATAGACAGATTTTATTTAAACTTAATATTTACATTGAACTTTGTAGTACCTTACAATGAATGTCACTTTGTTAGATCAAACTCAAAATGGCTGACTGTTGTCTGTTTTAGGAAATGCCATTTTGGGTCCATATCTCTGACAATCTCTGACTGTTCTTGTTCAAACCTTATATATAAACTTGAGAACTCGCATTGACTTGGTAATGTAATTTCCTAACACTGTTCACTTGCATGTGTACCCAATCATACCTTACTAAGGTACAATGTAACAAATCTGCTTTATCACTGTATATAATAAGTTAATTATCACAACACCTGATGAAAACAGCTTTGGATTGCCTGAATGAATGGGAAAAAACAATGTCAGCAAGCAAAAAATAAACAAAAACTGAGTAATAGTTCAACCAACATAAAAAATGGTTAAAATATTACCTGATACTACCTCTTCTTAAATCTGAATGTGAAAACCATCCTGATGCAGTGAAAATAAATTTGTATAAAACTATTCAATCAATGTATTTTTATGGTTCTTGCACTGAAATTCCTTTACCTGCAATTTGACAATGAGATAATTTAAAAATTTATTGTAAATGTTGAATGTGTTGTAATCACAGTGCTACTGGTAGAAGCTTTCGAATGGGGGCAAAAAGTAACAGCCATGAAGATTTCTCACTCGGAGGGGACGCCTTCAGCAATGGCGATAAAGTTGGGAAAGGTGGAACATATCCAAGAATACATAAACAACAACAAACTTACATGAGGGACTACGGAGATGGTATGTAATTTTTCATTTTATAAATAATAGTCAATAGATAGAAACCTGGTGGAAAATTAATACAGAGGCGGAGCTGATATGTTTATTTTTCGTTTGGGTTTCTACAACTAACCAACAGCTTTTTCTAACCTCCTGGCTTGGGTGACTATGCATGAAAATAAACCCCAAATAGCAAACTGTCTCGTGTATAAAGTTAGTTCAAATATTGTGACAGGAAATGGCTCTAAAAATGTGAAAGTGGTGAAAATATTGTTGCCTGTAGAGGGCAGCATACATCTATGGCTCTATTAATACAACTTGGTGATATTTCTACAATACACTGAACAAACTATTTCAGACATGATATTCCAACCCACTGGTGTTTCTAGTAAGATTTTACAGGTATTTTAATTAATACTGGAAATTAAAGATAAAAAAGTTGACGTGGCGACCCATAATATTGTTCTGTTCTACTACTCCTCTGTACCTCTTGCTCTACTATTGTACTAAGTATTGTATTAAATACTATGCAAGTATGAGGTACTTAACATTAAAACTAATTTTTCAATTTAATTTTCTTCAATAGGTAGGAGAACGTTTCCAAGCCGTCATCAACCTGCGCCTAGTCCAGCTCCGCTCAGAAGAGACCAGTTCAGTCCCCAAGGAAGTGGTTCACTGAGTAAGAGTAGTAATAGTAGTGGTATTGGTCCTGATATTGAATTGGAAAGAGAACGTAGAAACAGTGATTTACAGAATATCATGAGAACTTTACAAGAAATTAATTTAAAAGAAAACGCTAAATGTACGTCACAGTGTCAGGAATAAGGCCTAGTAGTTAATAAAAACAACCCTGTTTTCCCATCACTGTGGTATAACCTGGCCATGTTTTTCTAGGAGGGCTATACCATTTATGTTGGAATAGGGGTGATAGGGTTATAACAATTAGAATTGCAGTAATTTCAAAACTTTTTAGGTACTAACTGGTGTTTGAGTGTGGTTTAGATTTTAATGTTAAGGCTATAGTTGCATTTAGCTGTGTGTTTAATTAATACTTAGTCTGCGTTAGTAAGATTTGTGTAGTGTTCCACTCTGCTAAATCTATCTCTGATTCTTTCTTTAAAAAAGTAGTTTGCTTTACATGTAGCTAAGATGGTTTGGTATCAAATACATCTATTTTCAGATAATTTCACTCTATATGATCGATTTGTGATGATTCATGTGAATATGGGCTTATAACATAACACATTGGCCTCAGTGGCTAATACTATATTGTTTATCTTAGCCACCAAGGCAAGATATAGCATTATGAAAAATCACCAAAAATTTCAGATTTTAGTACAAGTCGTTTTTCTGGTGTTTAAATTTCTGTCAGTCATGAACATTTCCTTTAGAATAATATATGGTATGAAATTTACTCATTGGGATGAAATGGTTTCATGGCAACCAAGCCTAAAGTGTAATTTGTCATGTCAGTGAGTGATTAGCGGAAGACATACAGACTTGTGCCAGCACTGACTAGAAACAAATTTTTCCCCATTTCAGTTTGAATCTAATTTGTTATGACTGTCAATGTTTACGAGATAACTGTGAGCTCATTTAATGTTCACAAAGATGAACTTTTCCAAAATTCATTGGGACTCGGTTTGAAAGTACATGTAGTATTGCTGGCAAAATTTATTTGAAAAGCCCTTTCAATTTAACCTGACCAAAAAATAAAATCAGAAATTTACAGTGTTCGTATCGATTGAAACCTGATGTATTGTGGCATTTATTATTTGTCATCACTACAATAATTCCAGTCATGAACAAAATTCACTCAAACGCCATAGTAACATGAGTGAAATAGTCATGCTGTAAATTTGAAAGGAAAATACCTAATGTTTATCCAGAAAACTGCTTTGATCTCAAACAAATCGTATTAAAAACTGTTCTGCATCATATGTTGATTTTGTAATATACCGGTAGTTCATTCTTGATCGTGTAATAGAGAATCTCTTGTGCGATTCAGGAACTTGAAAGACACCCTTAAATGCTGAAAACTCAATCACAAATGAATTAAGGTCAATTGGTACCAAATCTATCTTAGCTAATAGGGTAATACTTTGATATGAGTTATCTCGCAATCCTAAAAATAAAAACATATTCTCTTTGATTGTGTTTTAGCACCAAGAGCTCCTGAAAACTGGAGAAGAGGTCGACTGATGGGGCAGGGTGCCTTTGGTCAAGTCTATGTGTGCTATGATGCTGATACAGGAAGGGAGTTGGCAGTTAAACTAGTGCAGCTTGAAAGAGAAAATTGTGAAGCTAGAAGGGTGAGTTCATTGTCTGTAAGAAATTACCCTGTTCTGTTTAGGAAATTTCAACTGATGAAAGAATCGGGTCTGTTTCTCGCCACATGTAAATATGCCAGGGTCCATAGCATTGGGAAAATCCTTTGAAAGTCTTTGGATGTTTTGAGGTCTGGAAAGTCTTTGAGTTGTCCTTAAATTTCTTCATAGTTATTAATTCATTTTAGAAAGGCCCGTTTTCTCTAGGGAACTACCATATCCTCAGAACTTTGAGCTTTGATGATGATGTTGGCGTGAATTAAGGGTCAAAATGTCTTGGGGGGGGGGATTGCAAGAAATTTTGGGAAAAGGTCTGGAAAAGTCTTAAAAATCATTTGGCTCTTGGTGCTATGGACATTGTATGCTTTGTCATTAATATTGACTTAGTGTCTGGACTTTAATTTTACAATCAGTTATGAGTAACTGGTTCTTGCCAACCACTTACCTCACTTACGTACACACATGTGCAATATAAATAGATGTCTTACTTTTGTTACTGTTTGTAAATTTCAACATAGAGGGCGATAGACACAGTCATCTGAGGTCATCATCTTCTCATTCTTCATTTACAGGAAGTAAAAGCATTAAAAGTTGAAATAGAATTATTAAAAAATCTTCATCATGAGAGAATAGTGCAGTATTTCGGTTGCGGTGAAGATGAAAAAATGCTTTGTATTTTTATGGAGATGATGCCTGGGGTAAGTTTTTTTGGACAGTTATTGATTGTCATAGATGATATGCTATGATTATGAAGCTTATCATATGAGTGATTGTTCATTGGCAGCATTCACATCAACTTTTTACATATCTAAGTACTACATGTTGACCTCTCAGATTTGTTCATTTCGTGATGATATCTTTAATTCTCGAATTTTCATGAATATTGTTGTCATTTTTAGAAAAAAAGTGATATTTTTGATTTCTTGTTAAAAACCATAAGTCTGATTGATATGATATTATTAGGTATTACAAGCGGACCTTTCTCAGATTTGTTCATTTTGTGATGATATCTTTAATTCTCTAATTTAAATGTGGGGTTGCTAACAGCTGAGCTATCTTGTTTTGTTTATAAACAAGCATGATTTGTACATTTAATTTAAAGGTGTTTCTACATACATGTACATTGTTTTATCTGAACCCTGCTCTAATTGTTTTTTCTGTCTTTAACTTTGTTCTTTCAGGGGTCAGTAAAAGATGAAATTAAACAGTATGGTGAACTGACAGAAGTTGTCGTCAAGAAATATACAAAACAAATACTAGAAGGTGCTGCCTATCTTCATAGCAATCACATTGTTCATAGGGATATCAAAGGTAAGTTAGCCAATTGCACGCCTTGTCTTTATCATGTGATCAGCAATTAACCAATGTCATGCCTTACTTTCATCATGTGACCTGCAATTAACCAATGTCACGTTGGGTTATGATGTATTGTTACAGTAGTGCTTTTTCCGAGCAACAATGATTTTCTATTGTCATCTACTGACAGATTTTTATCAATGGCTCATTACTTTCAGGGGCAAATATTTTACGAGACGCTGTAGGTAATGTGAAGTTAGCTGATTTTGGCGCATCTAAACGATTACAGACTATTTGTACGCTCAACGGTATGAAGTCTGTGACAGGGACGCCATATTGGATGAGCCCCGAGGTAATCAATGGAGAAGGGTATGGAAGGAAAGCTGATGTATGGTAAGTGTTTACTCCCTCTCCACCCTACTTTCCATCGCTTATACAAAATGTCCTGAGATGTGACTGTTAAGATTCTGGATGTTTGAATGATACCACATAATGTATTCAAAATGCCAGACATTTTTCGGGGTATACATGTTGCTAACATTTTTGTGAGAAAATTATGGGCAATCAAATAATTAATCAGTTTGACTTGTTTTGTTCCATGCAGTATTGTCACTGTAATATCAATTTTAAAGTGATAAACTAAATTGATTGACAGCAGCCGAGAGTCTGATAAGATATAACAGATCATAAATGACTTGCCAAGCTCTTTTAATTTTAATTTTATTTCTTACAGGAGCATTGGTTGTACAGTTGTTGAAATGTTCACAAAAAATCCACCTTGGTCCGAGTTTGAGGCCATGGCTGCCATCTTTAAAATTGCAACGCAGCAGACTTCGCCAGAGTTGCCACTCCACGTTTCAGACGATGCAAGAAATTTCATTTGGTTGATATTTAACAGGAATACACAAGAAAGACCAAGTGCTGAAGAACTTCTTATGCATCGGTTTGTTCTGAACTCTCTCATAATGGATTGAAGCAACTTCATGTGTCGTTCTATGATTAGCCTCATGCAGCATTGCTGGAATACATATGTTTGCTGGGGACTGACCACAGTACAATTTCTCAAGATTTTTACTGTGTCACGTAACCATGCATTTTACCCTGAACAATTGACAGGAATGATTTCCAGGTAATGCCCGTTAAGGAATAATAAAGGTGTTGCAGGATCCAGGGTGAGCCATGTACCATGATCTGGATATTATGGGATAGACTGATAACAAGTGACAACAATTACCAATTATGTAATAATAATACGAGGACAACAGACACGAATAATATGGGACAGTCTGATTTTTATTTATTCCATTGAATGTGTTCTCAATGAAACTGTATCTTGATGGAATTGTTGCGACCACTGCCCCCAAGTAATACGCCAGCTTCTGTCTGAGCTGTCGTTTAGCGACATTGAAAAACAGACAGGATAAACGTAACTTGTACAGACTTATCATGTGAAAAGTAACTTTAAATACCAAATCTGAACTCTTTTATATTTGAAACTCTTAGATTTGGGTTATGGAACGAAAAGCGTGTTGATATGTGTATATTACTGCTGTTATTTTGCTCCGCTTGAAAAGAGCGTTGTCATTGATATTTCGTCAGGTGATAGATATCCTATTGGTTGATGGTATTTCCATATATGAAGTTGCTTATGAATTGTAATGAGTTATCTTACAAGATTTTAACCAATAAGATTACAGTCTCCAATTTTTTGATACTTTTAAGTCAAGTCAGTGGTTGGTTGGTGATTTCTAATGATGTGTATAATTTTATTGTATCAGATATTTCATTAGTATGCTGTATTTGAATTCCTTTTGTATTATAAAAAAAAAACACATAATTTTTGTAATATTTTGCTATGGGTTAGATGGTAGGTGCTTAACGTTTGCTTTTCCCTGTGGGAAATTTTCTTACCCCATCTCA